TTTGGTCTACTCGAGGGGGTGATGCCAAGATATCGACTGGTGAGAAGCATTTCTTCGAATGACTGCCGTTCTCACCGTGCGTGCCAATGGCGACAAGCTGCCAATCCTCTTTGTCATCCGTGGAGCTCCAGGCGGCCGCATCGAAACGTCTGAACTGCCGCTGTTTCCACGTGGCCATGTCTACGCTGTGCAGCAGAAGGCGTGGATGTACAACACCGTGTGGAACTATTACCTGCGGACGCTGCTTGCAAATAACCTGTCCGACCACTCCGTTGTTCTACTCGACAACTTCGCGTCTCATGTCAACGATGACTCCTACCGTATTGTCCACGAGGAGTTGGGTAGGTTACTATCACTTAATTGGACAAATATAATTTTAAGCAATAGAACCAATCAGAACTCGCTTCAATGTGATTGGCTCGATTCAAATGTTTGAATCAAATTTGATTGTCATTCCAAGAATGGACAACCGAGGTCGACAGCAACATCGGTACTCCAACGGTCAACGAAAGGAGCTCCTAGCGGAGTTCCATGCATCTGACGCAATCAGCGAGCGCCAGTTCTGTCGTGCAAAGCACATCCCGTACTCGACGTGGCAAGGCTGGCGATCGAAGGAAGACAAGATCCTGGCAAACAAGAGACACAGCCGCTGCGCCACGATGGGCGGTCAGGGAGCCAAGGAGATCATTCCATTCAAGGATGACCTGTTGGCATTCATGCGTAGCCGACGCGACGAAGAACGCTACGTCCGCGTGTTCCACCTCATGCAATGGGTCAAACAGTACCAGAAGACTTGGCTAGTCCAGTACTTGGCGAGCAAAAAAAGCGAGGCGGTGGAGTTCAATTCGTTCCGATCATTGCTGCTACGCTTTGCCGAGCGACATCGATTTTGCCACCGCACAGCAGGGTGACCCAACGAGTGCTAGACGAAGTGTCGTTGGGATACGCCGCGTCGTTTTGGAGCAAGTACGCCCAGGACGACCGAAGCCAACCGTTGAACGTCGATGAAACCGCCGTGTACTTTGACATGCCCCCGGGGAAGACATTGGCCGAAATTGGCAAGTCAAGCAAGGTAGCGAACGGCGAGAAGCATTCAGATCGCCTGACCGCTGTCCTGACAATTCGAGCAGACGGTACTTACCGTGTGCTCGAATTGTAGATAGTTTCAAATATATCTTGCTTAGTTAAATTGTATGTGTGAAGTTGCCGTTGCTTTTCATCCTCAAAGGACAGACTGGTGGCGTGATTGATAAAATGAGCTTTCAACGTATCCTGCCGGCCATTTCTATGCTGCCCAAAAGAGCGCATGGATGGACGAGCGCGCCTGGTCGATGTACCTTGACGAGGTACTTGTGCCATGTTTGGATGACGCATCAGTCCTGTTGATAACTTTGAGTGTCATGTGTCTGATTCTACCCACGAGAAGCTGGCAGAAACACTATTTAGTGTTGTCGAACCGCTGCCTCCGAACTCGACTAGTCGGTGTCAGCCGCTCGATGTTGGGGTGATGGGTCCTCTCAAGGCGATGCTGAAGACGGCGTGGCTTTTGGAAGAAGACAGTCGTAGTAGTGTTGACGATGTCTTTACTGCCCAAGAAAAGCGACTTGCAATGGTAAAGAGGACTATACTAGTGCCCAAGAAAAGCGACTTGCAATGGTAAAGAGGACTATACTAGTTTGGGAAAAAATACGTCAGAAACAGTAGCAGTAGAGAAGTCCTTTGACAAAGCAATTCCAACTGTACTTGAAATATAATACAAATATGTGTTCATTGGTATTGTTGATGGACCGTTGTTGGCTTGTTAAAGTCGGTAGGAGGGTTCTCGGGTAAACCCCCCTCCTGAATAGTTTGGTGACGTCGGAATTGTGATCAGCGTCGATTTGGAAATTTGTCTGGAATTGAGACATTTCGTTGTAACGATACAATGGAGATGTGAACTGTGCAAATTTGGACAGTATCAGCCAATGATATCCAACGTCAACTTCAATGGACAAATTTGAAGCAATGAGTTTTATTAAAATATATTTGCTAATTGTGCAACTGTACATACAAAATCCAAGACACAGCTCAGTGTTGCACTGACCGAGTTTCTCCGCAAAGCACTGTATCTCCTGTAAACACAACCGTAATTTTCTACTACAAGTATTAATACTTCGAAGTACAGTACTGTACTACTATTCGAAGTTACGGATAATTTCTCTATTATCCGGGAGATTAGGTGATACTACTAAGGTAAGGTAACGGATCGATTTTCTGAACTGTTTTTGGGTCCATTTTGGTCCAAATTTTGAAGAGCTATTGCTCGGCAATGCAGTAGAATTTGTCTTGATTCGCAAACACGTCCAGCTCGACTGTCAACTCAACAGATCACTTGAACTCTTCCAAAACGGTCGCTCCTTCCTACTACGGTACTAACTTAGTACTACAACGCAGTACAGGTTGCATACTACTAGTACTAAATACGTAACGCCATCTATGGCATTGGCACTAGGACGCCACACCTTCATCTTTGATACTAGTAATTGATACTACTCTGTTCTGGCTGAAGATGCCCATATTTTTATCTTGATTGAAGTATACTACCCAAGTGAAAAATATCTTCAAGTTTGTATTGAACTTCAAAATTTCATATTATTGCACAAAAAAATAATGACATTATATTAAAATATTAAAACTAGTCATGTTTGGGAATTCAAGGGTCGCTGGCTGAGGAAGGCGACGGCATTCTTGTGCACTGATGGGTCGCATCGAACGTTGTACAACGTCAAGTCCTTGATGGCATTCTTGTTCATATGGGGAATCTTGTAATCGTTCGTTCCGAAGGTTTCAAGTGTTTTCTCCATCACCTTTTGTAGGGTGATGAAGGTTT